TGTCAAATGCCATCAATGACAGATGAGTGGGCTGACGGCATGTTCTCTGATACCGGGATCGATCCTGACCAAGCAGGCAGACCAGGATTGACCCTGAGTAATGCCATACCCTGTGACTGAAGCAGACCAGGCCCAGAATGCCATCTTATAATTGGTCGCCACGGGCAGGCTGGAGCCCGGAATATGTCATAATTGGTGCTGTGTCCAGGCCGTCATAAATTGATTTGACTGAAGTTGCAAATGAAGTGACATTATTCAATCTGTAAAGCCATGTGAAAATTCTGACAAACACATCATCAGATGTATTCTAATGGTAAAGCCTACCAAAGCCTGTTGATATTCAATTGATGGTTTCCTTCTGTAAAAGATTGTATATCCAGAACCTGAATCACAAAGACATGTTTCTGAGAAGGTAACAATATCGAAATCATACTGAGACAGTTCTTTGCATATGAGAGCAGTTTGACACTTTGGATTTGTAGCACCTGGTCAAGTAAGGTGTTTATGTTCCAACATGTAATTTTCAAAGTTGGAGATTTGGAAAGTCTATGATTTGACAAGAGTAACTTGATTATGTATATTTCACCTGCAAAAGCAAACAACTACTAACTGAGAGAAGCTGGTCAGTTTGATATTTATCAAGCTTTGTTCAGACCACTTTTTCTATGTCCTTTCTGTTCACTGTACTATCCATGAAGGGGGCTGCTCAGACACTTGGGGTACTAAAATTTAGAAACAAAAGGACCAAAATCTCAAGCCACCTGCATGCAGGTTTGCAGCTCCGCATTTCCAGCACGTTAGCCTTGTGTGCTACATTGTGCCCCTATCACTGCAGAGCTTTTATTTAAGTTCAGAAAGTTCCTGTATGTGACTTTGTTCAGAATGGCTAAAGCTTTGTATTGCCAAATCCACTTTTTAGAGCAATTAACCGGGGAAACCAGTGGCTCAACTAAAGTTGGAACAACTAGTAAATAATTACACTTTAGAAAACCAGCCTATATATTTTTACATCTCTGTTGTGTGTTAGATAGCCATTGACCCTGTTGGAAGGTTCATTTGCCTTATGATCGGTCTTGTTGGCCTTGTTCACATTGTTGATCACACTAGATAATGTGCTCTCTCCCAGAAACTGTAACAGGACAGACTGGGTTCCATAGCCTTGGATGGCAACTGGTCTAGGAGAAAGAAAACTCTAAATTCAAAACCAACCTGGAGAGGGTTGGGCTCTGTTAGGTTATCTTGCCCAAGACACACCACATCAATTTTTGGTTGTGGTTCATGTGGTGCACCTATAACTCTAATGAGTTACAAGACTTGTGATCAATAAACACACATTTGCATAGGTAATTTTGCTTGACTCTTCAGATTTGTTTTGCATATGTGTAGATATATTCAAGGACTTTTGAAAAGTTTTTGATCTGACACCCACTTCCCAAAATTTTACCAATTAATCACACAGAATTTGAAGTGGGGAAGTGTATCTTGGCTAGACTTAAAACTTTTCAGCACCACCTCATTAGAATAGCTGTTAAACAAAATGCAGTGAAGGAGGTGGTTGTCCCCACCCCCCCTTCTAAAAACAAAAAAAAATAGTTATACCCCTGTGATTATTTTTAGTCTTGCATAACTTATGCAACACAATGTGGGTTCTCAGTATTAGACAACCTTTGATCTAATGACGATTCAAGAGAGTGCCCAGTCTATACAGGTATTTAAGCCATAGCCTGGGGGGAAAAAAGAGAAAGATTCACACCTTTCCCAAGAGTAATTATGCAGAAGTGAATATAACAAACAGTTATATACAAAATTATCTCATCAGATCATTGGAACTTTCTTATCAAGTTGTTTTTTTTTTTTTTTTCACTTTTTATGGCAAAGTATATTTATCTACTTTTTGTGATAAGTCTACTGGTATGTGCACCACAATGGCAGTCAGTTTATTAAGTAATTAAAATGCAAGGACTAAATTTAGATTGTTGATTTGAAAGTCGGCATTAAGAGATTCATGCTAAATAAATCACCCACTGCATTAGGAGTCAGGAAACTAATTTGCTTGTAAAATCTCTGATTCAAAGATTATCTGATTTTCTGGCATGTATCATTATTTACATGCAGACTATTATCCTCATCTTTGTTATTATTACAATAATAATTTAATGCAAATGGATTAAAGCAGTGGTTTGTGAATTCAATGTAAGTTCAATCCCAAAGCCAGGCAATGCAGACTTGGATTTAGTGGAAACAAGGAATGTAATAACTGAGCACTATTAAAAAAGAATGAGATAAGATAACCCTTGACATGGCCAGTGGAATGAAAATAATCTACTCCTGTAGATTAAATAAAGGGTTCAATTTAAGTCTTTGAAGGTTACCTTGATCAGCAAGCAAGATGAAGGCTGGGGGACAAAATGGTTGAAGCCTTGTAATAACAACAACAAAGATGAGGACACTAGTCTGGATGTAAATAATGATCAAAAGAATATATCCTCTTTCTGCTCTTTATTCTATAATAGGTTACTGAGGATTGAACCTGTGATATCTTGTCCAGAGTATTAAACACCAAGTTAATTCTGATAATTATATATGTTAGGAATTTGTTTGGTAATTTGTCATGTGATAAAATGAAAACTTGTTATCTGTTGATTCATACAGTAAATTATTACTCTTGGCTAATAAGTGATTGCTATCATTTTAGATTTTTCAACAGCATTCCTAAGTACAGCAATGGATAGCAAGTAAAAAAAAAAAAAAATACTTCTAATGATTCACATGAGAAATTTATTATAGAAATTATATATGCAATATGATACTACTATCAGAATTATGAAAATGGAGGAAAATGAAATTTATTTTCACTATTTCATGCTCTTTTATTTCTGAGAAGAAAAAACACTGTACAAATAGCAAAAAAAAAAAAAATGATAGGCATCATTTATGGAGATGGTGCCATAGCTGAGAGTACTATTTGTAAGTGATTTGCTAGGATTAGAAGTGGAAATTTTGATATAGAAGATGAGAATGTTCTGACGTGCCTGCAGGCATTGATGATGAAATACTGATTAAAAATAATATCTCATGAATGTTGTAAGGCACTTGAAAACATTGGATATATGAATTAATACAATGTTTGGATGCCTCATGATTTAACAGAAAACAGTTGAATGAACCACATTTCTATTTGAAATTCTCTGCTCAAGCACAACAAAAGAATACCTGTTTAAAAAAAACAATCACAGGTGATGAAATATGGATTGCGTTAATCATGTTTTAGAAAATGAATATAAGAAGGACATTTGGCATTTTTTGGAACATTTCTCAAATGATATGTGCTAAATCTAGCCTAAAAATAGAATTTCAGAACTGGTTTAATTTTGTCTTAACTCCAACTATTTGTCAAGTTATGATTATTTGAAGTTAATCAAAACTCGCCTATGTTTATTCATTTATTTTTAGATGATCAGTTTTAGATTTTTCTGCCTTGAAAATAATAATTGAAATCTTGTTGAAATGAATGCTAGAAGTAATAAACATGTTTAAAATGACACTGTTTTTGAAAAATTACCTACATCAAGTGGTTTAGGGGGTCATACAATACAAAATTAAATCAAATTAACACAATTTTTTGCCATTGACATCTCCCACAACTTTGAATAATGTAGACAAAAAAAACACTGGGACAATTTTTTTTCTCCTTTTTAGTGTAAGTACCCAAATATAAAAAATATGCAAAAATTAAGCTCTTTTCAAGAATTTTGGCTTCAAGAGCAGGGAAGCTATACATAGATCTATATTTTTAATTAAGTACGTATAACATGAATACGATTCTATATTTGAAATGAAAATCATTCAATAGACTAAAAATTCACAGATGCCTTCTTGGCTCTCTATTGTGCAAAAGCCCATTGTGGAATATTTAAGAAAAATCCTCTTATTCACCAATCTGGTTGGGAGAAAAGGTTTCTCTTTTTATTTGCTTAATGAAAACTGCCCTGTGCAAAATTAAATTTTAAATTCCATACCTAGTTTAAATAGGTTTTCATTCATGTAAACTTTCAGAAAAATGATCTCCTATTTTCAAAATCTGAGCAATTCTTTTGTAAATGTTATTAGGATTTGTATTATTCAACTCGATTCATACTAAGATACACTTTGTATTCAGTATCCTTTAAAGAAGCCAGGTGTATAAGTGGGTTAACCTGAAAGACAACCACCTGGCCACTAGGTGCAGATCTGCACTTCACCTGATGTCATTGGTTTCCCACCAACATGTAAGCACATGTTCGACTCAGCTGTGCCTAGAATGTGCATGTGTGGTGGAAAAACTGATAACGGATTATATATATCTGTCATCCACTCATGTCCTTATGAGAATGTAGAGTTCACATTTGGAGAAGGCCCCAAAAGTATACACCCACTGGCCAATATGTTAAATAAGATATAGTATTACATATGAGAGATTAAGTCTTATTTTCATTACACTGTATGACAATAGTGTTACAAATTAATTTATAGTTAATTTCTAAAGTTTGCTTAAAAATAACTTGGTAATTTTTAACTTTAATGTTTTACTGAGAGACACTGACAACACTGACTTGTAATAAACTTATGTATCTTGTAATAAATTTTATCAAATCGAAACTGGCTTATTTACTTTTTCAGTTGCACAAGCATATTCACATGTGCTAAAAATTGTCTGTAATTCATTGCCAAAATTCACATTAAAGTTATCTATAAAGGATGTATTGGTTAATTGATTTGTTTCTTTATGGTTTATCAACCCTTTGCAGGTTATTTAAAGCCAGAAAGTATTTCTTTTAGATTATAAATTTTTGGGGGTAGATGATTGTTTAGTGATACAAGTTATTAACCCATAACTAGGTGAGAAAAATTGAATTCATACCTTTCCCAGGGTATTTGTATGTAAGTGAATATAACAAACCCAATTGGAACTCAATCAACAATTCTGAACCATTATCCATTATGCCATCTGCACATCCAAGCTTACAGCAACTGATAGTCCCTTAGTGGTCACCCATCTAAGTACTGACCAGGCTTGACATTGCTTAACTTCAGTGATTGTACAGGAACTAGTGTTTCAATGTGATGTGGCCATAAGCCTAAGATGTGTATCAGTTTGAAACCTGAATAACAAGATGGGAAATTAAGGTATATTCAAAAATCTCAAATCAGTAAATTAATAATTCCAAAGTATTTTTTGGGTTTGTATTCTGTTATTTTTGGATTAATATTTATATTATTTTTACTAAATGTAGCTTGAAGGATGGATAAATCACACAATTGCTTGCACTTAAAAAGGAAGCTAGATTTAATACATGTTTATCTTACATGTTGAAACAACATTATCAAATTTGGATATTGAAATCAATCTTGTGTGCTTGAAAATGGTTGGAGAATAATTAGATTTATTTCTTTTTTCTTTTCTTTTCCCTTTTTTCCCTTTACCTATTTTTCCTTTTTCCCTTTTTTTTTCTTTTCGTTTCCCTTTTTCTTTTTTTTTTCTCCTTTGTTTATTTTATTTTTCGTACAAGACACTTCAGCAGATTCAACAAATGAATAAAAACCAAAATATTTTGGCATCTTAGAGTTTTCAAAATTTGGATAACTGGTATCAGCATTTGACAATATTTTATTTCTTGCATTCAAGAATGTAGATATGAAAAAAAACAGATCTTGCAATTATTGGATACTTTTCACTTTTATCATAATGGTAATTAGTAAGGTTATCTGGCATTGCCTGGTAGTTTTGTTCAGTTTAACATTCTACTTTTACACTTTGAGACAAATTATGTTTACATTTCTGTACACCTTGTATAATAGACAGTGTTAGTGGCAATGGTGTCTTCATCTAGCTAATGTGGCAGGTATTTCTGCCACACCAATATCACTTTTTGTTTGTTGGTTGTGCTACAGCAAACTCATAAATGAACTTTGTCTTGATTTGAATCCCTAACCTGGAGGCAGGCAACATAGAAATGCACTAACATACTGCTGCTGAAATAGGTAAAATTTGTACTAATTTCTATTTTTTTTTTTTTTTAAATAAAATTAACATTGAATTTTTATTCTATTTTAGCAAGACAGCCATCACTTTTTAAAGTTTCAAATCTATCTCCATTTTGAGGTGTTTAAAACACCTGTATTTAGGACACTGAATATACTAGGTAATTAATTAACTATTTGACTGTCTACTTAATGCAAAATTTTCATTAATTTATTTTTACTTTAAAAAATGAGTGAAGTGTTGATAGCTTTAAAAAACACCCTCTCTAGTCAAATTATTATTTTAAAAAATATAGCTTGTTAAACGTCTGGATATAAAAAAAAAAAACGCTTTTTTAAAAATAGATTCATGGAACCGTGGGGTGGCGGGAAATTGCAGCAGTATAACACTGTCCTCATCCATATAAAAAATTAAAAGTAACAAAAAGTGTAACATTCAAAGTTCACTCGGTACAATAAAAATACATTTATGAACAATGTACTTATGGAAATTTATTTTGCTTACTTGAATGCAAACAATGTTCACTTGATGTATGTGTGTCCCTGTAGGTCAATTTATGAAGAAATTCTTTGACTTGATATTTTATGAGACAAATGGGATTTCCGGATTTGTTAATAATAGTGGAGTTGTTCTTAAAAATTATTTTAATTTATTGTTTGAAAAGAATACCGTTTATAAAAATGCATTTTCTTTGGTTTGGAGAACTCAGAGATAGCAGTAGAATTTGATTTTATTCTTTACTTTTTAATTTATACAAAATGAAAAATGAATAACGATTATTTATTTGTAATTTTGTATTAAAAAAAAATCAAAATAAACAGCGACCCCCTTTTTTATCGTAAGGAACATATTGATATACACAAAGCCGAAATTATGGAGCACCTAGTAAGGATCGAACTCACTACTCAGTCGTAATTGATCTTGCTTGCAAGACAAACTTGATAACTACGTCGAAGTGTTCATTCACAAGGAAAATTTTTTTTGCTCTTTAAACAGAAAAAAACAAACAATTTCTTTATAATTGGAGGTGTTCAATTCCAGTGACAATTAAAATAAATTACATTTCAATATGAAATCGAAAACCACTTTTACATTTTATTATTAAACTTGAAATAAAAAATAAAAAGTATAAAGAAAATTTACTGGAAGATGTTTGTAAAATTAATGAAACATTGTTACGTCGATATGGTCATTGTGAATGTTGTCAGATTTTAATTAAAATGAAGAGTATATTTTATTTAAAAAAACCCTAAGAATTGGATTTATTATTTTTACTTGCTATTTCCATGTGTTGTGTAAAGCAAGAGGAATTCTTAAATCTTACATTTTATTCGGACACTCCCCTCACTTAAAAATAGATTCTCTTTAACCGCAAAAAGAAAAAAAAAAAAAATTGCAGTTGCTTTTTTTCTTGTTTTTGTTTAAAAATTCCTTCCATGAGTTAAATTGGTTTCCAATGAATTAAGTTTTTTTTGTTTTTTTTTTTAAACTAAAGAGTGGCAAAGCTGCAACAAAAAAGTTCTTTTACTTATGTAAAATATTTTTCAAAATCAGGTTTAATTCTTTATAGTTTTATTTTTATCATATAAAAATAAGCTGAAAAACTTTAAAGAATACGCAGAAAGAAAATGAGTAAAAGAAAAAAAAAGGGGAAGGAAGATAGTCATATTTTTTTGTGTTTAACTTTGACTTTGATGGAAGATTTTGTTTGTTTAAGGAAAGAGAAACCTGTTTATTTAAATTTGTTAAAGTTAGGATTTTTTAATTATGTGTTCTGTTTTTTCATTTAAAAAATGACTTGAATAAACATTAACAATAAACTGGAAAGGTAAAGTAAACTTTTTCGCCCCTGGAGCATAGTGCACTTAGTAAGCAAAGCCAAAATTTGTTTAATTCTTCTTAACGGACCTAACCTCATCGTGGATTGAATTAGGAAAAAAAAACAGCTTTGTACAAGAATATGAATAATAATAATAATAATAATAATTAATATTCTTCTTATTATTTAATAACGCAGTTTCTGTAAACGAGACAATTCCTGGTTATTAACCGCCTCCCCCCACCTTTACTTATTTCAATAATTGACTTACAAGATGAAAATATCGGATTGGTTCGTAAAACCAAAAATAGTACCCCTTCTTCTTGCCGATGATCCATTCTTGCAATAAACAGTAATAGAGATTCTTAACTCCACTATTTGCTATTATTTTCCAATAGTGGTGGTTGCCGGAGGAGACAGGCTGGAAAGAAATACATAGCTGGTTCAAAAGGATGTCTGTTAAAGTCTACCACCGTCGTCATTTAAAGGAGGAGAACCCATAGCAACAGTAGCAGCAAGTATGTTACTGTTAGTGTTAAGAAGAGAAAAATAACAGCTTGATCAAGCCTGAAGGTTGTTGGCAACGTTAAGGCCGAACAACGTATACTGTGTAACTGTGTGTGTAATAAGGAAAAACACTAATACTAGTAAAATTACCATTAGCTGCTACTACTGTGTCAAGAAGCTTAAGTAGTAACATCGTTGCTACCATTACGACCCCCACTACTATTACGACTACTTTATTACTACTACAACTTAAAGAAGAGCCCCTCCCTTATATTACATTTAATAGTAGTAGTAGTAGTATTGTGTATAGTTGTTTCCCAAATATACTGCTTCATCCTTCATGGACCAAGTGCTTTTCTGGTGAATAAGTGTTTCAGTCTTTTCATCTCCCCCTCCCCACTTCATCACTCAATAGGTCTCTTCCAGGTTCTTCTATAGATTTACTCTCACCCTTTCTCCTTTCTCTCATACACGATTACCATCATTTCTGCTACTACCATCGGCTTCACTTGGTGGCTGGTCATAAGAGAGACCCTTTCATGTGAAACATATCAGAATTTGGACTACCTACAATCAGGTGTATTTTTCTTCTAGAAATAAAACTAAAAAAAACAACCATGGTTTATAAAGCAAGTAATAAAAACACACTGGAAAAGAAACTAAAGGTATGTTCATCAGTTATTCATTTTTTCCCAGTAGAATAAAGTGGTTAAACTTTTATAATTTATTAAACTTTCTTCTATCTTTGATCATTTTTAGAATTTTTCTTTTTCTACAATATTCAACTTTATATTTTGTATCTTAGACTCACTTTCTTGAAGATCTTACTTTGACGTTTACCAAATTTCCAGTTTAAGAATCTTTTAGAAGAGTTGTATCTCAACTTTTTTATGTCTTAATTTTGTTTGTATGCATTGGAATGAAAGTCATATTTTAACTTGATTAATAATTACTGAAATTTTTTCTTGAAATTTTATTAATTATCATAATAACATTGACAATAGACCTGAGTATAATTTTTATTTCAATTTTTATTGTAGCCATTATTGGCATTCCATTAACAAATTCACTTCTGGTTTAACTTTGAGATTTAGATGAAAATGAACATAAAAAAATTGACATACACTTTTTGTTATGTCTGGAATGAATATTATAAGAGGAAGTAAATTCTGTCTAGCAAACGATAGTAAGAAATCCCACCTCAAAGTGTTTCCCATGTTATCAGTAAAATCAGTTCAAACTAATTTACATAACACATTGAAATGCTACATTCTTATTTTCATGGTGTCTGCTAAAAAAACAAGTTTATTTCAGTAGCATTTCTGCTTAGATATTAATATTGTAATGAATTTGCTGAGACCTTCTTTATTTATACTGTGTACTACAATAAGTCTATGTCGTCTAATGTAGAAAGGCAGTGAAAAGATTACATCTCATAGGTTTTTGGCTTAACCCTTTCACTAATTCTGTCTAAATATCATAATGTTTTTCTTTTGAAGGCTTTCTTGATTAAACCAAGAACTTTTTAACACCTCTCACTCACACACACACACTTATACGTGTGTGTGCGTGTGTGTGTGTGTGTGTGTGTGTGTGTGTGTGTGTATGGACATCTATGTGCTGAAGCATTTGTTTGGTGCTTCATTTTTGAGGAAATACAAAAAGAAAGAGGAAATATTTTAATGCTACTTTAAGTATGAGGTATTTTGAAAGTTGTTTTTTTTTTTTTTAAATTTGAATGGAATACTGTTTATAAAATAGCATTT